GAGAGAGAGAGAGAGAGAGAGAGAGAGAATGAAGATGCAAAAGCTGCAAGCAACACAAATGGATCTAGTTTTGTGGAGCTTCACATAAAGTTTACACGAAATATAAATAATATAGTAATAATAATGTAAAACATAATTTATATAAAATTTTTTATATAATATTATATATTATTGTGAAAGTATATTGTATATAGTTATACATATTAGGAAGTTTTTGCAATACCGTTTATCTAAATATGATGAACGCTAAGATCAGCTATCTTCTTAATTGTTTAAAAAAAGGGTAATGTGACGTTGTGTTCACCATATCTGGATTTACGTTATTGCAAAAACTCCCTATTGTTCTTATATTTGATGCAGGAATTTATAATTAGTACCTACTATGCATTCTGTAAATAGAATTGAGATGTTACATATAAGAGATTTCAATAGATTAAAATTTTTTTTGTTTAGAAAAATCCATCTTTATAATACAGCACCACCAAATGAGATATCAGGGAACATAGGGAGTTTTTGCAATATCGTTTGTATCATGGTAGAAAGAAACAAAGTAAGTCATTGCGCATAATGACAGCAAAGGCTGGAAGACATGATTTGTCAACCAATTACGGGGGATCTTTTTTATACGCACAATGCTTACAGATGATTACTATTAAAAACACACAGTATTGAAGTTAAAATAACAATGATATATTAATAAAAACTATTAAAATATAAAAATATTACAAACTTTAACATTATTGTTAAACAGAAATGAGATTGCACCAATGTGTCAAAAAGATGCCGCCAAAGAACAGTGAATACAGCTATATTGAATTTTCATAAAATTGCTCCCTCATGATTGGCTGTCCGTTCCCCCCTTTTAGGCTACTGCGCATCCACGGGGATAGTTCAGCTTATTTCTTTTGGTTTATATCATGGTGGAATTATAGAAGGTAAGCTATTTCCACAGCGGACAGCTAATCGTGGAAGATTCATTTTATGAAAATCCAATATGGCTGTGTTTACTGTTTCGAAGAGTATGGTGTTACATTTATAAATAAATCCTTCGTGATTGACAATTATGTTCCCCTACATTTTGCCGCCATTATGCGCAATAGCTCACCTATCATTCCATAGTTAATATGTTTAGATACGGCCGTGGAAGAAGACCTGAGAACGTGTAACGTTATCTGAGATAACGTTATAAGGGATAATGTTAGAGGCTTCAATAAAAGGCACTATAAAAGGAACAAAGAATAAGAATTTTAACCTATCAAAAACTGTGTATTCCACAATACATTATTTCTGATAGGTTAAAATTCTTATTCTCTATTCTCTGTGGCCTGTTCCTTGTATTGTGCGGAGTCCCTTAGACTGCGTTTACGAATTTTAGTCGGATGATATATACAATAAATGTAGAAAACCTCAAGCCATAAGGAATTGACCAATCACAGTTGAATATGAAGAAAATTAATCGAATATAATTTAGTTCACGATTAAGTTAATTTCTTATTACACACACGCGCTCGCGCGCGCGTGTGCACAAGAGTCCTGTACATATAGGGCTCTACTGCACATAATTTCTTACTATACGTAATTAGATTAGAGCTAAAGCCTGTACCAGACTACCGACTTACATTGAATCAGTTTATTGTGATTATTGGTGGGCAGTGAAAGCTGGCAGTCAGCTTGCAGAGTCAGTAGTCTGATACGGGCTTAAGGACCTAAACACAAAGCGACCGTAAAGCCCATAACACATAAAAAGCCGTAATACATAATCAGTAAACAAATTGGCCAATCACTGTAGAGACCGTAATGCATGGTTTACAATGGGCAATAGCAGTAGTGAATTAAGAAGTAGGTGTAGAAATCGACCAATGATAGTTAATTATCCTTCTCACCTTCGACTATGATTTGTTGATTTCTACGCTTACTCCTTAATCTATTACTGCTACTGCCTATTATAGACGATAAGACGTAATCAGTAAGGAAATCGTAAGATTGGATTTATGGTTTATTGGCCTTACGTTTTTTTGTATGTGCCATGAGCTTAACCGAGTCGTGGAACGTAAGTCATAATTGTAGATGTGAACCTTTTCTACAATAGAATCATAAACAGTAAGCTGTAAGAAATTAACCAATCCTAGTCGATTATTCTTCTCATTAACTGTGATTGGTCAATTTCTTACGGCTTGCGACTCTTGTAGAAAAGTATAGTATGCGTATAGTATGCGTTACTATAATATTTCTCTAGTTTTTCGTATGCGATACTTTTCAAGAATAGGACATGGCAAAAGATTGTGCGTCGACCTGCGACTACGACTCACATTTCACGACTAGATTTCTTTTAATAAGAGTTAAGATATAAGAGCAGAAGAACGCCATTGCCGGATGCCGGAAAGCACAACTCCACCATGATTGACAGTTGATTTCACGTTCGAGTTCTTCTACACAATTCCGTAAAGCGAGGAGCACAGATTCTTACATAACGCATAGCATATAAGGCATAAAAAATTCAACCAATCAGATTGCTTTATTTAATGGGAAGGAAGGAAACGGAGGACTTTGATTGGTACATTTTTGTATACATTTTTGTATACGTGTTATTCGTTATGCAAAAGTGTTCCCCGCTTTAGCCTGTCGATGTAAACTAGACTATAGGCTGTAGCCATGTTAGCCTTCAGTCTTGATTATCGGTCATTGTTGGTTAGAGTATAAATTTGTGAATTGTTATGTGAAAATTTCAACAAAATATTAATCCTTTGTTTATTATTATATACTTTATAAAATATTAGTATTAATAATGAATTAATATCCAGAACTACGACTATTTTGGACTTTTAAATATTCGAATCTATTATCTCTTATATGGTTGTATAAATTATAATTTGGATTCTGGATTAGTTTGTGTTAGAATAGCAAGGCCTAAATACTGTAAAATTACGTAACAATTTGCATTTGACCGAAGAATCCTGGGCAGCTCTTGAAGTTTACGATTTCAATTGGCGAATTTTTCGGAATTGGACAACTATTGAATTGCTGAACAAAACAAAATAAGTTTTCTGCAATCGCAATGCGAAGATTTATATCGTAGTTCTGGCTGGAATCTATTTTCCACTTTTTCGTGAAGTTTTAGTGGTGAGTATTTTTTTCTTACAAAGTAGCTCAAAAAAAAGTTTCCTCAGGAAAACATCCAATATTCCTGTCAATACATTACATTTCAATATTCACTGCCAGTTCTACAAAACCTATAGTTTTACGTTACATTCATCACTGATCTTCAATATTGGTGGAACGCAGCCTTGATTGATACTCAAAATGAACCAACATAAAATTTCATTTTATTCTTTATTGTAATGCATATACATATGGTAACATATCAGCAAAGCTGTTATAAAGTCAGCCAGTAGTTAAATTATAACAAAGTATTACATCGAAAACAAAGAAACCTAACACACCACATATCACATAAATTCATAAACAAACACATCATTTAACAAAAAAAATTGACAACATTTGAATTTATATTTGCATTTAAGTTTAAAGTTATGCACTAAGTTTACATTCGTGTAAACAATAAGGAATTTGCAAGAGATGAAAAATCATTAAAAAAAAAAAATATCCAGTATCATAAAAGCCCAGCAGATCAGCTGCCAATAATATAGCCAGCAGATTATACAATTTCCAGCATAACATGCAAGCAATCCTAAGAAAAAATATTGTATGCCATAAGTATGATCGAAAATAGAATCGCAA